TACATACATACATACATACATACATACATACATACATACATACATACATAAATACATATATACATACACCACAGACACACAGCGAATTATATTTAGTAGGATAGAATTCGAAAAATTCGAGTGAACCTGTTTTACCCATCAAATTGCATAATTGCGCACATAAGACGAAGGAGATAAAACATTGGAAATCTAAATGGGGTAGCAGCGCCTCATAGCTCAGGTAGAGAAGAATTTCTGTCATTTTAAATTTAAACTTATACCTCCGAATGAGGCGGATTTCAAAATCACCAACCATTCAATCATAATGATTTAACGCAGCTAAGTTTATTGCAATGCAGATATGGGGGAAACAGATATCTCAATGGTGAACTGCTGAGCGCTCGAAGTCATCAAATGGGGACGCTGCGGCATGACAGTTTCGCCCTTTATGTAAGCTATTCCGAGCCTTATCACTTTCTCTGAGGACAAGTTTCGATGAAATGACAAAATGAGGATCAAAAAATCTTGTTCAGTTCAACTTGAAAATTTCAATCAAACTCACAAATACAAATTTGCGTTTTGCGGGTACGGTCTCCAAGTCGAGCAATGCATCGACATCAATTTCGACTCCCTGAATTGCACAATTTTACACATTTAAAAGTAAACTATACAATTCATACATAATAAGCATAGGATGGGAGGAATCAAAAACTTTCTGAAATAAAAGCAAAAGTTTAAATCCAATAAAAATCCATTCCGATGACCATTCATATTCATAGTTCAATGAAAGAGTCGATGTAGTTACTAGAAAGTCTGCAAATGTCCTGGTACAAAACTTTTCATGCACATGTTGTGTGCAAATGTTTTCTGAGAACTTTTAGAAACTTTTATTCCATTGAGAAATGACAACCACTCGCAAACTACAACGATAAGAAGATAAACATGATAACGCGATTACTAACAAATCGCGCGTAAAAAGAAAACACAACATCGTGGCCGCACTACCGTGACCATGCGAAAATGCAACGAGCCTGCAGAGTATTCGCGAGTCAATGCCTTATGACCTATTTTCCAAGGCTAGTTCACGATAAAAATGGTTTCCGAGATTCCCCCACAGGATGAATTTGAAGACCCCGACCATACCATATCTAGCACTTCTTAGTCGGAAAACGGCCTAGTTAGAGAGTTATAAAGGCTCAAAGATTGGCCCGTGTGTATCCTCGGACGAGTTCCACAGGCATTGTAGAGGTTGCGCCGATTACAATGGAACCCATGTAGNAACTATACAATTCATACATAATAAGCATAGGATGGGAGGAATCAAAAACTTTCTGAAATAAAAGCAAAAGTTTAAATCNATCTGTACAGTCGTGGCTTGATGTAGGCAGCTCTTTGTGCAAGTGCAATAACTGAAATCTCGTCCGAATACCCCTTCCATGTTATTTCCGTCATGGAAATCTCGTCCAACCTCTATTTCCTCTACCTTTGAGGAGCCATATTTTTCCCGATCGGCGAATCCTCTCGCTTTCTTCACTACCGATTAGCTATTCCCAATCCATACTTCCGCTTTTCGAATAGAAACGGGTATCTCAAAATTCTCGTGAACTGTGCTTCAAGCACCCACCATGCTCATTCATTCACTCAGTGATATTTTACTGATCAACAATGTTTTAGTAGTTCACAACTCGAGAAGAAACTATTCCACTAGAGAATACTTCTGAACCCATAATTAGAGAGAACTAGGCCACGTAAGACTCAGGATTACAACTGGATTTAGAATCACTAATGTATACATACAAGTTTGTTACCATCCCTTCACGAAAGAGTTTCAGCGCTCAGATCATTTGCGCGAACCAGTTTTACACTGCCGGAACACTTTCCCGGGCCTGCTTTTTCCTCGCGCCATCGATGCTATCTCAAATGACTTGCTTACAGTTTTGAGATTCCTTTTCTTCCAGGGAAAATAGAAACCATTCCGAGTAAAAAAAAACTCACATTATTTTCGTTACCATTGAACAGCTTGGCAACTTCAGCATCAATCCAGTTCTCGATCTAAAACAAAGGAAGCTATGCAGGTGCAGGATGAACGATTACCACAAGAATTCTACCAGAGTTATCCTCTACTAGTTCATTTTAGTCGAGAGGGGAGGACGGGGGAGGGGAGCTGGTGGGTGAGGTTAGTGGGTGAGGTAAGAGAAAATGCAGAATGAAGCTATAACTTCTCTGAAGGTGACTGCTGCAACACTTCACCCACTTATAAAGGCCCTTCATCTGATGGCTAACTCTCAAGCTCAGATGCAGTTCTCTGAGACTCATGATGTTCGAGAAAACATTCCCTCGTTGAAATCCGCTGTATTCTGGTCGAGGAATATTTTCAAGTGCCCCTGTCACGAGACCATCTCACCTAGGAGAAAAGAGGACAAGTAAGCTTTGGACGGAGCCTACCTCCTCCAGAAAGGATTGAAGTGTTCATACACTCACAAGAGTCCATTACCTTCAAACTGCACTGATCTGAATCAGAACAACAACTTTAACGATACCAACCTTCATTCTTTTACGAATCAACATCATTTGCTGCTTCCCGTACTTCATTGTTAGGACTCTTGAGCGTTCCTCCTGAAACATCAAGAACAACATATAAAGGATAAAGTTTTTGACGTTTATCAGTTCCATCTTGGGACGCGCCGACTTCCATTTGAAGTCGTGGTAGTATTTCAAATGCGTCGTGGCCTATATGACCGGCGCGGTCCGCCGGTGAAGAAGCTAATGCTTAGATCCTGTCACTCAAGTCCGAGACCAACTGACCAACTGGTCTCCAGCCGCAGTACAAAATATATATGTTCATATGTTCACTGCCTTTCTTTTTAAGCCTTGAAACAATAACTCCCGACCTTAGCATGCTGAATGAAAGCGAGTGTGCACAATTTCGTCCGAAACTGAATGAAATCAAAACGCGTAACAAGCCGGACAAGTAATTTTCCAAAAACGGCTACCATTGTGAGGCCCTAACTGACGTTGCGTGGGACGAGACAAAAACTTCAGCTCTTGGATCTGCAGAGTTCATTTTGGCTGGTATTTTTAGTATACTGTAGCCAACAAAACCGACGGCTTGTCTGAGATCCTCGTCTATTTCGCTTCTGCCGTCGTAACTTTGCACCACTACCTTTTCACTGTATTTTTCTCGACCCGTAATTTTCGCGCTCTCTTCACCATCTGTGCACTATTCTGCAAAATGACTTCCATCACTTCAATCAAATCAAGTATTCCAAATTATCGTGAACGGGGTCTTCGAAATTCTCAAATAAGTTCGGACCAGCAGTTGGAAGTCGGACCAACTGTTGGGAGACTGACATAACTAGGCTCTTAACTTGTTCTGCGACGTTGACTATGAAGAAACCGATAAAATCTGTAAAATATGTAAGTACAATAAAATAAAAAAATAAAAGTAAAACAAATATGCAAGTGTTCGATATATATACCTAATTTATGTTTACTGGGCGGAGGTGGTGTAGTGGCAAGAGGACCACTATCTCACACGCACGGTCAGGGGTTCGCATCTCGGATCGATACCCGCCTAGGCCAACCAAGCCTTCCTACCCTCCGGGGTCGGTTAATCGGTGTCAGACACGTCTGGTAGGATAAAAGCACTGACGACTGGCTACCGCAAGACATTGTATAGGCCACATACGCACTCATTACGCCACTTCGATTCTGAATGGAAGTCGAATGTTGACTCCTTATGGTACATATTGATTTTGTGAACTAGAATGCGATTTCTGCCAGAAGTGAATCCGGAACTGCTTGGCAGCGGTGCTTGCATATTCTTCCTAAACCGAGACTTTATCGAATGACGCTGAAGGATCGTGATCAACACCATCGCTGACAGTCTCTCAAGAGAGTGTGAAGTTTAAATTATTAGGCTGTTCGGGAAGAGAAGCGCGCTGAAGTTGTCCATTTATTTTTCTCCTGCTATAAAAGATTTTCCAAAATAGAAGATGGCGAAAAATTACGTGCGCGCAAATTTTGACGAGATCATGTGTCTGCTTTGAACATCAAAGCCAGCTTCCACGCATCAGTTGCTTTCTTCACATCTTCAATAATCAGCCTGTGAAGAGAAGTTGTCCTCAAGAAAACGTGCAGGCCTGCACAGGTCGCGAGGAGATTGCACGCCTAGCCAGCAGCGGGATGAAGAACACTGCAATTTCGTCAAAGCTAAGAATTCCTCTGAGAAAAGTTCAAGAGATTGTGAAGCAAATGACGGAGGAAAGACACGTCCTAACCAAGCAGGCAAGAGGAATGCAGCGGATGTGTGGATGCGAAATATTATAAAGAAGAGAATTGACCGTAAGGATGATCGCAGCATGAACAAAATGGCGGAACAGCTCGGAATCTCCAGAGAATCGGTTCAAATGATAGTGAAAAATGAGCTTGGACTTCGAAGTCATCACCTATTGAATGGACAAATCCATACAGAAAAAGAAAAGCAGAGCCGAAAAGAGAATGCAAGAAACTGCGGAAATTTTTCAAGGTGCGCCGAGTTGAGGACCTTCTTTCGTCTGACGAAAAGTGTTCATCGTGAAGTGGCTAAAACCCTCAGAATCATCGCCAACTTCTTAGTCCAGCTCTTAAGAACATCCGGAAGAAAAGAATTGCCACAAGAAGTTTGTTCCCCAAAAGTTTAATGATTTGGTGTGGTATCAGTGCATAAGGCAAGACTCCGTTGATCTTCATAGACAAAAATGCGAAATTGATGTGAAGTTCTACAAAAAACAAATCCTCGCTGTGCTATCCTGGAAGCGAAATCATCCCAACTTCATATTCTAGCAAGACTGGGCTCCGGCCCATGCAGCGAGATCCACCATTCACTTCCTCGAGACCGAAGTGGGCTCCTTTCTGACGAAGGATCTGAGGACTTGTAATGGCCCAGATTTGTATCCCTTGGACCTCGCTATTTGGAATAACATGGAAGAGGAATTAAGGAGTAGAAACGTAAAAAGTTTGGTGGCTTCACGAAAGGAAGTGTGCAAAATCTGGGACAGTTTGGACATCGACCACCTTTGGCGCACCGTCGACTCGGTGGAAAGACAAATCGAAGCCTGTATCAAAGCAGCAGGCGAGCTCTTTGAAAACTTGTTGTGATTATATCATGTCATTTTTTGTTGTTTTAAGAAAATATATTTCTTTCCATGTTGGTATACAAATAATAATGTTCGAGCGTTTTATGGCGCACGTAATTCATCGCCACCCTGTAGTTTTGTCTGTCAGAGTGAGGTTTTCATTGAGCAACTCCTGACATATTTTTGTCTATGTCTAGATCGTTTTTTTAAGAAAAAAAAAGTTTAGGAAATGCTTAAACAAAAATTTCGAATGCGGGCTTGCATGTGCATGTGTCAAAGCCATGCAACGACCTAATATATGTACACGATATTCGCAATTCCAAGACCCGCAAAACTGCATTCTCCCGATTTGCGGTGCCATTCGAGAAATACGGACACCCCACAGAGTACATGGAAGTCATTCATCTCCGCTCGAAACAACACAAAGACTTCTTCATGATTGGCAGTTTAAACACAATGACCTTTTTCGGAAAGTGACTATTCTCTCTCATCGTTGCCTGCATTCTCGCTTCTGATAGATGCACTTTCATTCATCATGTACTGGGTGTTGCGAGGAGATGCAATCGAGATCGAGATGTTGCCATCGGGACATAAAACGATGAGCTTTGTTAAAAAAGTAAAAGTTGGAGTGCCCTACGCTCACTAACCCTTTGACGACAATGCGGAATCCGACGTGACGCACCCCCGGGACCACAGTCTCCTCTTTTCGCGCGCGACTGGCACCCACTGGTGGGTGACACTGTCCCAGGAGAAAGTTCTTCCACTAGCTTACCGAATTTAGCAATCGGTAAGAAACAAGAAAATATGGTGGCACTCAAAATTGATTGCCAATGTCCCATGCGCTAGTCACAGTGGCACCCACCGGTGAGTGCCATTGTCGTCAAAGGGTTAATGCAACTGGTGAGGCACCGTAGCTGTGAAAGCTTCAACAAGGTTGTGTAGGAATGCCAGAGACGAATGGTACCAATTGCCGAAATATCAAATGAAGCGTTTTCCTTACTTTGAAACTTTCCTGGTATAGTTGCTAGTTTCAAAATGATTGAAAAAAAATCGAAGTCGGGTTTTATCGAGATCAACGCCTTCTTCATGGAATAAGATGTTTAAAAAATAAGAATTTTCGACACCTCATTGCTTCTATTGATCACAGTCTTAAGGACGCAACAACTGCGATGCGGTGTACGGAACAGGTTCCAATTCAAAATGAAAATTCAACTACGAAACCCTGTTTCTCTCAGTCGAGTTTGATGAAGAGTGGTCACACAACTTCTGAACAGAAACGCAAGTTAAACGGTAAGGACGGGAACTGACAGAAGAAAAGGATTGCTACTTTGATGTTATCGAGAAGCGTTTCCGCAACACAAGTTGGCCAACCGCTCTTCATCGATTTCAACCAGTACTAGAAAAGTTTTTAAAGTCAAATTTTTCATTTCTCGAAACTTGGCATCAAGTGTGCACTTTTTCTCTGAAGCACCTCCTCTACTCACAACACAAGTACTTATGCGGTAATAAGATTCGACGTAAACAAAATAGGTATGTCAAAAACTCTCATTTTTCTGAATCTTGCGTTCAATTTATTGATTAGGATCTTGATCGAATTTCGCTGGACCTGGAAGCAGATACTGACTTCCAATATGACAGCAGATTTTTTAGGGATATAAAATTGGCCGAAAAGCATTCGACAAATGGGGAAGGAAAAAAGAAAAAATGATGAAAGTTCAATTGTCTAAGGATCAGCGATGAAACGTGGTCAGGCTAATGCCCGTTTCCCCATCCCAATCTACCCTAATCAAAAATATTGGCAGAGTAGAGAGGTAGGTAGTGTAAGGGATAAAGAGCAGCAGAGGGTGTCCGGAGAGCACAGATACTAGACCGAGCGAAATTCGCCGGAATAAAAAATTTAGAGAGATCTTTTCATGTTGCAGTCACTCATAGAACTAGAAGGTAAAAGCAATTTTTCTGAAGATTCACTGCGGCAACTCCCATCGTGATGGTAGTTCTGCCAACAATGGTGGATGCCCTCTTACAGGACCTGCAGTTCGTGACGATTATTACCGAATCCCTAGTCGAAGAAAGACAAAATTTAGGACAATTGTGAGGTATCCAGAACGTTAGTGGAAGTGATAGTATAAAATAAACCAAACAGCGGATAAAACTCAAAATTGACCTATCAGAGAAAAAGATACTTTCAAGAAATAGTAGGGTAAGGGGTTAGGCGAGAATAAGACGAGAAAAAGTGCTCAGAAGGGGTATTTAGAAGAACTTTCCAGATATGTGCACTATTGCGGGCAGCTGGCTACGGTAAGGTGCCTGCGTGGAAATTGTGCATCCCGGTGCGAATGATGCAACACCCTCTGCAACGTCGTGGAAACTCGTCTGCCTTTGGGTGTATACATCGGCTGAGCCTGTTTTGAGACCCTATATAAGCTGTTTTTCGACACAACAACGTCTCTCGTACTATCCTCGAAGGTCAGAGGTTCATCCTATGTAGTAATCTTAGAGACCCATTTGATCGTGAACTGTGCCTTTATAAGTCTGACCCTAGTGTGGAAATCACCTAGAATTCTCTACCTCTCGCCCAAAATCCTTGTCTGCTTGCTGATCACTATTCTCTCTACCGAATTGATTGATTGAACATAACGAGTTCATTAATCGCACAGACGCGTTTCTAAAACTGCCGCGAAAAAAGGGAATAGCGCTCAAGCCTATCAATCAACACCGCTTCTCACAGAAAGGCCTCCGACTTGTTAAGAAAAGCGATGCGTCGCAAATCCTGTAAAAGAGGTTCCTATATGTTTCACTTAAAACAAAGGGTCCACTTTTCTTGTTAGTTGTCGCCTTTTCCTTCAATAGGCGACATTTACTGCCGTTTACTTGTGTTTGAAATGATCTTCTTTATCTTAATTTTTCTATCGATGCCCCTTTTTACTTAAATTCTGAAGGAAGCAATATTTCCAATTACATATACGCATCGTAGCCTTGCTATGGTTTTTCGATCGAGGGACGTCTTTTCATGAGAGCTAGCCTCTTCAGCTCGAGGTGGTTGTTGTCCACGAATCATCCACGCGGAGATTAGCCGCATGCTAANGGCGACATTTACTGCCGTTTACTTGTGTTTGAAATGATCTTCTTTATCTTAATTTTTCTATCGATGCCCCTTTTTACTTAAAATTCTGAAGGAAGCAATATTTCCAATTACTTATACGCATCGTAGCCTTGCTATGTTTTTTCGGTTGAGGGACGTCTTTTCATAAGAGCTAGCCTCTTCAGCTCGAGGTGGTTGTTGTCCACGAATCATCCACGCGGAGATTAGCCGCATGCTAAATTTAGCGCCATGTAGCTCAACATAGACGCGTGGGACGCGCCGTCACCGATTAAATCAGCTTGAGAACAGCGAGTCTGATGGGAGGCGGAAATTGACGAGCGCCTTGCGGAGGCATCAAGTATTACTTACATTGCGCACCAGGCAACAAAGCCATAACTACGAGATCATAACTACCGAAACTTCTGTACACAAGTTTCGTTCCTTCTGTAAAACTCAATTATCGGCTGTCTCACTTCGTCCGCCTCGAATTCTCGTAATCCCACATGTTTTTTCTATATGTCAGGGTGAAAGACAGAGCGCGATTGAGGTTACCAGTCAAGTGCCCATGGAATGCTTGCGAGAAAAGAAAAAAAAAAAACTAGGTATAATCGACCTAGTCCTTCGAATGTGGAGGACAATTGTACTTCAATGGGTACTACATGATTAACGGCAGTGCCTGCTCACAAAAGAAGTCTCATAAGTCTGAATTACTAGTGATATATCATTCCAAGCCGTTAATACGGAAGAATACCGCACTTTTAAAATCTGCCCTTCAAAACCAACTCGTAGACAGACGATTCGTCAACACGCCGCAACATCCCACGCATGTTCGTCCCTCAAGGGAATTCCTTCCTCAGAATAGGCTTGGCAGGTCCCGCATCTTTCTCTCAATGCCGACATATTACTAGTCATTACCAAGAGTAATCTTTCTAATCAAGATCACATGCTTGATAAAAATCAAACAGACAAAAATCACTCCATTCTCTGACTGATCGAAAAGGCAATGGAAAATAACACATGGCAGAAAATCAAATTTGCGCTGCCTCGCAAAAATTAGACAAACTCTGAGAACTTTTCGTAACTACAAATGGCTATATATATTAAAAAATCAGAGAAACAGAAAGTAGAAAACTATACAAGATGCATTATGAAAACCAATAATTCCATACAGAATGATTATAGCACGCAGTTTTATGGAATTCCGTTATTTGCATCCGATCCTTCCACCACCTGATCCGTTTGCATAAAAACTTGGTTTCTTCATATATAGCCGAGAACCACCAAGTCAAAGTTAGCTTCTTAGTTAGCTTGACTAGCCGTTCTTAGCTATTGTTTCGCGATGAATGTCCAGTGCTCTAGGACGACTATCCCTCCCTGTTCATCTCGCAATAGAAAGAGATGCCTCTCAACCGGGAACAGCCAGAGTCCTTACCCTGTTCACGACAAGAAAAATCGAGTGCTGTTTGCAAAAGCACTCCCTCTCGCCTCCAACACGCGCATATTGATGCCGTCATACCGAACGACACTGTCACAATGAGATTTGTGGAGACGTTCAGCGTCATAAAAATGTCGGAAAGGAACGCTGACATAGAAGAAAAACATACACATAAACAGTGCTCTCAATCGTGGAACCATTATGAATTAGGTTTAGAGCGCAAATGACATCAATTTTCTTGGAGAAATACGACAACCGACCTCCTTCTACCCGGTCAATCTTATCTCAAAGACTGCATACATCACTACTCAGAATGGATTCACTTCAAGAGGGATTCATGCCAAAAGATTCACCGTTTAGCAGCTGCATATCACAGGGTCCACTATCTGGTAAGATCCGACAGCTGTAGTGAAAAAAGGCGGTGGTGATGTAGTGACAATTGACACACTATCACACAGGCACAGTGCAAGAATCGATTCCGGGATCGAGCCCACGCCAACTAAACCCTCCATCTCTCCGGCATCGGTTAATGGGTACCGGACGAACCTCGGAGTTCGAAAGCACAGACTTTATATCGGCTAGCCACCGAAGTTTATTATAGGGGTCAAGTAGTAGGTTTTAATGGAGGTGGGATACATCATAAAAACGAATTGACCAAAGCCGAGGGTTTTATCCACTGATTGTAAAAAAAANAAAAAAAACACAACTATTATAGATCACCAATTGACTGGAATATACCATAAACTATGATGGAAAGGTGAATCCACGGAATCAATCACTGGTTCCAAATTGATGACAGACAAAGTTACCAGCAGAGACCAAACCTGTAGCTGCTAAGCTTTTAACCTCCTTGAGTTCTGCGAATTTGGATAGTGGTATTAAAAATGCAGCAGTCTTCATGGAAAAATTTCGAAAAAAGACGAAAAACAAGCGAGATATCGTCTTCAGTTTGTTCCCCTTTTAACAAGAACACATAATGAACAATATTCCCGACACACTACCCGTTGCTTGAATCTGCTTTTGCAGTTTCAGTGCCTTGTTTTCATTTCTCACCATATTTCCCTTCACGTGAAACGGAGGGGAAGCCTTCTCCACACCTCGTTTTACCGCCATAACACTTCATATCGTCCGTTCTAGCGACCGGCTACCTCTTTAATAGCCCTTCCCAAAACACCGGTTACGAAGATTCTTATCTGAGCTCATAACACTAATGATTGATGCCCAGACAGCCTTAATGATCCTAATAATTTTTGGAAAGTATTTCATACCATCGGAAAATGCAGTCAACAATGACTATGAAAGAAGGAAGATGATCTTCAAATCGTGAGTCCAAATCTCTAAAATGAACCGGACGATTTATGGTGTCGTGCGATTTCGCTTACGCGCTCTCGGAAACTTAAGTTATTGTTGAAAAATAGCTGCCTTAGAGGATTCGTCATGATCAAGGCTATAAAGCAATCTGTCGCACTAAACAAATACTAAGGCCTCTTGGAAGTATGACCTTTCAACCTAGTAGATTAGCTGCACTAAAATGTCCGATTTGGTACTAAAACCCTGGCGAAATCAGCGATCCCACACATCGTTCAGTGCCCTTTCGAACCAGGATTTCAATTGTTATCGATCAGTCAGTCTATAACGTTTAGACAAACTATCTTACTACATATAACGCGCTAAGTGCGTCTGTTGGTTTGTCTGTGTGTTTGAGCGGAAAGTCATAACTTCTGTTCCCGTGGATCTAACGTTCAAACTTGGTAGAAGTACAGGAAGCAGAATAGGAACATTTATAGTCGGTCGCGAAACCGAGCTCCACCCAAGTGGGGCGGCGTTGGCGCGAAAATTTAAACTTGGACCTTGAGTGCTCATATTCGATAGAAATACAGGCGCAGGATGGGAGTAGCTATGTCGGACGGCATGACGGCTCAACTCCGCTCACAGTAGGCGAGGCGTAGGCAACAAAATGTTAGACTTGAAGCGAAATTTTGAAACCAAGTTTGAATAACTCGGGATAAATCCAGTTACTCAAACACACAGAACCTGAGGTTTGTTCGTGGCGGACGGGACGCGCACAAATTGTGTTGGGTGTTTGAGTTTTTAGTCGGGAATGAATAACTCCTGTTCTCATCTACCGAAGCCTCCGAATTCGAAGAGGGTGCAGGCGGGCAGGCAATTTCAACATGAGAAGGAGGGGAGCCTGGCGTCAGCCGGGCGATCTGACTGGTTATAGCAATAACAGGCAGCGCTCTTTGGGAATAATGATAAGGAAAAACATGCTCTAGGAAGGCTTTCAATAATAGTGCGGCCTCTTCTTCTTAATCATACTCAGAGGGTCGTTCAGCACTGTATCTTTGATGGAGCCATAATGGAAAAAAGAGCAAACAAAGAAAGGTTTCGCATTTCTTCTGTCACAGTGCTGAGAAACCGTTCAATATTCAAAGCAATTTGCCTACAACTTGTTAGCCTTTACATCAGCAAAGCTAAGCTTCCGTTAAATCTGATCGAGCANAGCAGGAACCAGAAATAGCATGAAATGCTATGTAGGCTTCTTTGTCACCATATAGTCTACTTGGTGTCAGCAAGCCTTATACGAGCCGGCAGAATTCAAAACGCAAGTGGAACAACAACCGACTTTCCCAATTCTTGAAAGAGAGGTCTTTCTAGTTTTCCTCCACCACTATAACTGACAGACTGGTACATATACTCGCTAACTCGATTAGAACAAAGAATGGGATGGTCGCAGTTCCTCTCATCCGAATCTCCGAAAATTACGGATAGTAAACTCTCGCTGACTACTTGTGTGAGGGAATTCTCATGATAGCGGTCATCCAAGCATCCACCCGCGTTCATAGTCATTTTGCAAGCATTGTCACTAGAACCCTTACAATTGGTCACGCAGCGCTGCTTCTACTACTCCCCGTAACGCGAATTTTTGAATGATTCTTCACTGATGTAGTTCGACTGACTTTATTCCGAGATGAAACACACAGCTTGAAGGCAATAGGTGGAAGAGAAGCCTTCATGGATTTGTCAAAATTTCAACCCTCTGAAAAGGTAGGTGAACAATGGGGCTTACTCAGACACGCTACACGCTGTCGCGCAGACTTTTTACACCTCTTTCGGAAATCAAATCTCACTTCAACGAATCTTCTACACAGTTATCGACGTTGATGGGAACTGCCCTTAGAACGAGGAAAAAACTGAAGGAGTGGGCACTCACCCGACGTGCCTGTGCGTCCTTCGGAAACCTGGCGTGCTTGATTTCGGTCGACATGTCACCTGGAACCGGTACACAATAATCGATTGCTTCGTAGAAAGTAGCCGAAAAGGGAACATCCGATGACTAACGGTGTGATTAAAGTAGGAATTAGACGATGTAATGGAGATAACACGATTACGATCGAGAATGGGACTAATAAGTCTTCGTTCAGACAGTGGTTGTATAGCGTAACAAGAAAGAACAGACCTTCAATCCATCTATGTGAAAGGTAAAAGTAATAAAATGGTCACGATCAAGAACTGCATACTAAAAAAATCCTCACGTTTGTTTAGCTTGTTTATAGAGGTGGAAAAACTCTATAAAAGCGTAGAAAGTGAACTTTCATGAGTAAAACCTAAGTGTAAAAGTCAATTCCACTAGTAAGCCATCAACTCAGCAGGCGTTTCATAGCTGTCAAAGAAATCCACTGAGGCCAGGGCCTAGCCATCATATTGAATCTGGAAGAAAAACATCCGCTCTCCCAGACGATTAGTGAGACGATGCGGCCCATCGCTGGGTGGAGCCTACGTTCAGCGAAGGTCACAATGCAATACGTTTGCTGATTGTGAGAAAAAAGAGTGAAAACTGTGGGCCGCTAAGGTTACAAGCATATTTTTTATTCAATTGTTTGTATACTGTATAAGATTACGTTGGAGAAGGTTGGAGAAGAAAGAACGAACACCAGACAAACCTATCAAACTAAACGTGAACATCTATGGCGACAGTCTGAACGATGAGAACGGGAGAAATTGAATAGCGAGTGGATGGATCGTGAGAACATTAGAAATCAATGAAGTTTTTCATATACTGTAGATGGAATTTTCACACCCTTTCCGAAAGCGGTCTCATGACTCACTAATTATGAGATTTTAAGCTGATCATTCATCGTGCTTTCTCACAGTTGAAAAAGGGACTGAAATAAGGTAATATTCATTTTTACCTGTGAAGAAAGATATGTTTCATTGGCCCAATTCAACAAAATCTTTGAGAAAAGAGGAGAGCTAGATCGTTAGTGAAAGTCTAGCTCTGAAATAAGCGACAAAAAATGCCTCTCGCGGAGCGTAGTATCGCAACAAAAGTCAATAATTGGGAGCAAAGCATCAATCCCTTTGAAAAACGAAACAAAGTTCCACCAGTCTTGAGGGGTTTAACCAATACCGAACTGCAATGATTTTCAATGGAGGCACATGTACCATACCGAAAATTGAATGAAACCGCCTACAGGTGTGACACACTATGATTTCGCATAGTCAATCCCGACCAGCCTCAATCCAGATAATCCTGTGGTCTTCCGATTGAGATTGAAGGTTTTTTTTATAATTAACTAGTGAACTACATCGAATAAACTCAAAAAGGAGGGCGAAAAGGTTCTCTTATTCACTCTAGGTTTCATGAAGTGGTATAATACTTCTTATTTAAAAAACAAGACAGACCAGTGTTATACCGATCATCAATTTCATTTGGACCGATTATTATGTAGATAACTGCAGATTCGAAGCAAGCAGTTATCGGAACAGTGAGCACAGTGACATGTAGAAGCACTCGAAGCCGATTATCTCTCCTTGAGTTCAAGAGTTATTCTTATGAGGCACCTCAAAAAGTAGTAGCGTCATTTAAATACATATATGAGAGGCAGTGTATCCCGTGAGAGTAACTTAAATCCTGACGACATGACCTGCATCTCCCAGCTCGACCACATCGAAATCAACTGAGCAGAAGTCAGATGAATTACGACCTAAGTAGGTCCGAGTAGGATTTGGTGAATAGAACAAATGAGTGGCAGCCGCCTCCTATCACTGTGCCCATAAGACTATATGGGCTAAATGGTGACAATTCTTTTCCTACCGCTATCGAGAGTAAGGGTGGAAACTATAGAGTAACTGAAGAGCTACGTTGTTTGTAAAACAATTATCCAAGTTTTGATTGCAGTTCAGATATGAATGTCAGTTTTGGGGCCACTGGAGGTAAGAAGGGACTGGGTACCGCCTTATGCACCTACAAAACGCACTAGTTATATTGACGAAATAAGCACATTATTCTTAGAATTAAGAAAACTACAAGGTTTTATCATGGTCCAGGTTGAAAGTGAGCTTAGGCCTTGGCAAAATGTTTTCACGCTTCGAATCCCGAGATTGATTTTATAGAAGGGTTCTGTTCACTGATACGGAGCCAAAAATGTGAATATCATATTTGAAGACTGTGGAGAGTTCAAAGATGAGCTGGTCAAATATGCTAAAAAACATTTCGATAGATCTGCATGCATTCGGCATCACTATCAACTTGAAGGTCACGGCTTCTTCGGCATAGGCCTTCCCTTCCAATAAAGCCTCTTCAAAGTGACTTTCAAAATGATGCCATACAGCTGGAGGAAAACAGCTAAGCTCTCAATTCAGAACTATGCTTTCATTCGTATGATCTAGAAAAAAATATGAAATTTTCGATTCATCTCTTCTTGAACTCATTCTCTAAGCTTCCCCTTCATCAGACACACGTATTTGGATCAGTAGGATCAGCAATCTCAAAGCACTTCAACTTTTTTTGCTGACGGTCTGCGATGCAGCTGCTGTTTTCGAAAATATCAAAAAAAGGCTGATCAGCTGTCGGTCGATATGTAACCTTCGGCATTATCACTTATAGGCGATATGTCAGAAACAGGAGCTATTATTAGAGTAAAATCGGAATGAATGGCTCAAATAGAACAGAAAAATCAAGTATGTTTCCTTTATGGGAACTATTTGAGTTAGATGGCAAGATAACTCTTACTGTTGACTGCATCTCAAAGGCACTACTGGGGACATCCTTTTCCACCCTTGTTAGTGCTTATTCAAATAAATCTTATGAAAGAGATCGACTTCACTCGCTAAATCATATGAGTCGGAAACGGCAAGCGAACTTTGTGGCCAGCTGAGTAACTTTGAAACTATCTGTGAAACAAGCGGTTCGAGAGAATCTAGCCCCTGCTTACCTGAATAGCTGGAGAGAAAACTATCATACAGAGGGCATGAAATGGTACCCCTCGGGTTGCTCAGACCCTCAGCCGTCAGAACAATTATATACGCAATTCCGACGTTTCTGAGGTTGATGTCTTGTTGTTGAAGAAGATATTTGCAAAGCAAACTGTTCTATTGTGGGATTCACGTCATCATGATCGCTTCTAGACCATTACTAGGCAAGCATGATATTTTATGACTACAGATGGTAGTTGATAATGGCAGATGTGAGAGAGCGGAAATGAGGAAAACATGGTGCAAGTACCGATCAGAGAAGTGAAAATCACCTTTACATCACGTTCCCTACTTCATGCAATTTTTTCTTGTTTTAGATTAAAATGCAAGGTAAAGACAGATGAAATTACTGTTCTCGCAGTATCGCATATTACGGTCCTACAGGAGAGTAACTTCGTTTGTCCTTACATCGAATTTCAATCGAAAACAAGAAACGTTCGCATGAAATGGGGAACGTGATGTAAAGCTAATTTCCATTCAGAGGTCGCACTTCTCTGATCAGTACTTGAACCAAACATTCGAACGAACAGTATGAGTGCAACAACAGTGCAAATAACAATTATCCCATATTGTTTGCTCAGAGATGATTCCAGATTATTGAGCAGTGTTAAAGCAGATTTTCAGTAGATATCATAAATTTGTGAAAATGAAGACTACAACTGATATGAAGGTCTTATTAGGTAGGCGGATTTGGGATCATCAACCATGTCAAAACGCAATTTTGGTAAATCGCACCTCATTGGGAAGAACAGAAAACTCATTGGAACAACATGCTGTGGTAGAGGGCTTCGAGAGGACCACATCAGGAAATGATCTCCACGGTGAGGAGGAAAATCAACACATGGAGTTCAAGGTAAATAAATAAATAAATAACATCAGGATTTCAATTTTACAGCGCAAATGTAGAAGTCTCATTAAAAGATGTATAATATATAGATACGATTAACACAGGAAGAACAACCAGAGAACACTGGAACTTGGGAACCTCTTGAATATTAAAAAGCTGCCTGCTCTCGCATAGCGCACAAACGAAATGGGACACACGATGTCGGGTAAGTGGGCGGGGCTAGGAGGAATTCGGGCGCTATATTTTGAACGGAAGAAGTGCAACGTGAGGCGGAAATTAAGCGCGTAAATTTGGCACTTGCTGAACACAACTATTATAGCTGACATGGACTATTCATCGGCAAGGACTACTCGAAAAACAAACGCCTCAAGATTTGTACTTTGTTAGCAGGAAGGTCACAAATGAGATCATTTCAACCTCAATAATTCGATAGAGCAGCCAACCGGTTGTCATGAAGGCGTTGGAAATAGAGCTATCATGAATGCTTCAACGTCATCAATATATTACACTTATAAGCGTACCGATTGGAAAAAAGCGAATAAATGACCCATCACAGTTATCATTTACTAAGGAGTGAGAAATCCGTTCACGAAAGCAATGAGCACTTCTACCTGCGATATCAGAAATGCAGGCTTGAAAATCAAAGAATTAAAGAGTAGGAATAGGAAGGAGTAGGAATAGGAAAGGAATAGGAAAAAGGAATAATTCGATATGTATCGATCGATTGAATGTACCCTGATTCTTGCTATGCTTACGCGCAAGCGCGTAGAAATGACCTTGAAATTACCCGACGACTCATGGGCAACGAAGTTTTGGAAATCTAAGAGTCACTAAAATATGAACAATATCTCCTGACAATTCTGCTATGATGCAGAGACAGCAGTCAATTAATGTAATACTGCCAGCACAAAATTAGCAGAGCAAGAGAAGTTCTAGACACACATCAAAGACGGCACTCGATGAGGGAATGCTGAGCTCCTCCTAAAAAGGCACTCGTGTAAACACAGGAACTAATTAATTCTTAGAGAAAAAGAGAGTGCGTAGTAGAAGTCTGCGCCGGCACCAATCGTTGCTAGATAAGTCAAAATAGTACGGTTACACGAGAGAGACCCGGACGAGTACAGCGTCGAAACATTCATACGGAACTTGAGATAACACAACAT